TGCTCTTAAGTGACTTCAGTCAGTCCAGCCATTTTCTACTCTTCCAGTTCATGTGATCCTGTTTCTTCTTCCACTGGGAGTCTCTATCCGGTCGCTCCCATTTTGTGAAGATGTCGATATTTTCCTGCATCTTTCCCTGCTTTTAGTACGAATCAAGAGCACCTTTAGATGGTATTAATTGCATTTTGAGTAAATGTTTTTGCTACAGGATGTTACTTTTCGAATGCAGAAGTTGCATATCTCTGTGTTCCTTAACGTTAAAGAACTGAAATAAGTTCACAGAGGGGGGTGGGGGATAAAAAGAGATATGATAAATTTGTTCAAGAGAAGTGGAATTGCAGAGCATCTAAAACAAAGGTACGATGCCGTGTGCGCTTTCAATAACAGGTGTGAAAAACACCTGTCTCCGGTCGGCCTTCTAATTTAGAGCTCCAAAATCTCACGTTAATAAAACAGAAAGTGAAATAATGGACAAACCCTCCAGCAGGAGGAATGCCAGGAAAGTTGACAGCAGATCTAGGTGCTCTCGTGTCCATTGATTTCTAGACCGGAGTTGGGGGACTGTACAGTGATGTCCGTCAGAATTGGGGCATAAGAGTTGCTGTGTATTCAGTAAGGAAAAATGTTCCTTCTGAAAGGGGAAAAAATATCTACAATCACACCCACGTCTTTTAAATGTGAAAGTGCTAGCCCCAGACTGAAATTGTTGCACATGCATTTTGTGCGTTGTGCTATGCATTATGACAGCAGTTTTTCTGTGATATGGAAACGGTTCATTTTTCATAAGCGCTGATTTGATTGTTTTCGGCAGCTTTGCTCATCCACCACAGCATTGGTTTGAAACCTCTGCACTCAGCCTTTCAAGTGACCTTCTCATCTGATAACTCGACAGACTCAGTGTTCTTACACACAGCCAAGCTTCACTGTGGTTATAACTTACTGCATGCATGCACACTAATCAATGAGAGGATAGGTATTTGAAATGCTCAGGGAGATCTGCTGCAAACCGCAGGTGAATCCAGGTGCAGAGAGGTTTGAGGCCTGGTCTGGCCCTTCTGCACTGAATCCCAGCCAGCGCTCCAGCGCGGCTCTCGCATGCTGCGTCTTACAACCCGCCTCTGGGCCTGCTGGGGCGAAGACGCGGCGGCTGTCTTTCGTAATTAATTAAAAATGAATTAAATTTCCACCGCTCTTATCAGCGGGTTCCGATCAGCTGCCTTGGCGCAAGCCAGCTGCAGCTGCGAGGCAGGGAGGGGCCGTTCATTAATCCTCCCTGACCTGTTTTATCTGGGCGTCGGATCTGATGGCAGGGCAGGCAGGTCTCGATCTGGCTCCGCGCCCCTCTGCAGGAGTGAGCTGTCGGGTCAGAAGAGCCCGAGGAAGGATAAGGACGAGCCCGGCCTGCTTCTTGCTCTGGTTGCTGGCAGCTTATCCAGCCAGGAATCGCTCCCTGGCTGATACTGCTGCCCAGCCTGTGTGTGGCGGTATAGAGCAACTAGAGCAAAAAGACAGGACCATCCCCTGTTCCATCCAGAGCTCTGTTCTGTTCAGTAGTTCTTCTTCAGACGCTGGGTGTCCGTGCTTGGCTGAGGAGCCAGTGGCGTGAAGCTGCCGTCTGCAGGAGAAGGACAGAAAGTCAGAATACCTCCTGAACAGACGCGCTTGGTATCATCACCTGGTTTTCTGCTGTGGTGCGCTTTGAAGAGGAGCAGCAGCAGCACACTCGCAGGCTGGGGAGAAACACACTTGAATGCTCCTCGTAATGCTCTTCAGCTTAAGTACGAGGAGGAAGGCCCGTAGCTGAGAGGGCCATAGCCCATTTCCTCTCTCCTCTGTTGGCTTCATACCCCTGAGATGTGGGCAAGAGACCACGCAGCTAGCTGGGGTCATCGGCTCTGGGGCTGCAGCGTCAGTGCCATTTCCTTCAAATTGCCGGCACCCTTAAATACAAGTACATGCACTGTCGATGTATACTTATGCTTTCGCACATATGTACTGTATCTCCATTTGCAAGTGATCTTAAAGAAAGTTGCTGAAGAGGACACCTTTGTTCCCCTCTGTGATCGTGCGGGGCTCGCTTTCCACAGCATGAGATGTGGCTGTTTTCTCCACTGTTCAACTCACATGCTGCTGCGAATAGCAGCAACTCGATCCAGTTTGATTTGATTGAAGTGTAGGTGCGTATCTATTTCTGGACTTCCACAGACACGAGCCTTTTGTCTGTGAGGGTTTATAGCGCAGATGCAGCTCGGCGTTAAATGGGGCTGCTGACACGCTGGAGTTCGGTGTGAGCTCGCTGACCAGGCGGGTTTCTGTTTCCAGTCTTCAAAGGACCAAGGCGCAGCGACGTTTGTAGAAACGTAATAAGTGATATTTTTTAACAATAAAATAACATTTTTCCAAAAGCACTTTACACTGAAGGAGGGGGGGACCCTATTTCTTCCACTACTGAAGAGCAGCACCCACACACAGCGCCCACTCTCCCCCAACAGCCCCACAGGGGGAGGAGGGAGAAAATTGGAAGTTTTGGTACATGTAGAAGTTTGTCATCGGCTGGGCCCACCCATGCCACAGACTGCAGGGCGTCCCTGTACTGAACCCAGCCTTGTTGAGCTTCTGAGGTCTGTCAGGCAACTAGGTGGTAATGCAGTTCTGTTAAGATCACTTTCTTGGCCATATACAATTTCTTGTATCAGGAATTTGTCTTTTCGCAGACCCCAGCTTGCTCTCCATGAGACACACAGAGAAGCTGGGGGTCAGAGCACAGGGTCAGCCATTTATACAGCACCCCTGGAGCAGTTGGGGTTAAGGGCCTTGCTCAACGGAGTAGGATTCCTCTGCCGGCTGCGGGATACAAACCGGCAACCTTCCAGCCACAGGCGCAGATCCTGAGCCACAGAGCCACCGCTCCACCCATTCGGATTGTAAAGTTTTGTTCAGGACATCTTGCGGTTTGTAAATTTGCAAACAAGAGTTGGATTTGGCTTTTATTGAGTTTCCTAGCCCTCTCAAAGTTTATTTCACACCGTAATACACACTTGAGAAAATGTCTTGCGGCAATAAACCTTGACTTTGATATCTCCCTGCCTCTGATTGGGCTTTTCACCTGTTAGGAGAGAAATTGTATTTTAAACCCTACTTTTGCAGAGTTTGCAGAGCTTGTAGTCATGCGAATTTTCGGATTACTTACAAATCGTGATGTCCAGATGGCTCATCCCTGCCAGTCCATGTGCTTTTCACAGAGAGCAAGGTGTTTGGCGTCAGGAAGGTCCTGCATCGAAGGAATGTTTTGTCTTGAATGGAGAGGAGAAAGTGCTCTCTCTCACACTCTCACACTCTCACACTCTCACACTCTCACACTCTCACACTCACACACACACACACACACACACACACACACACACTGGGTTCTGCTGAAGTGCTTGTGTTGGGCAGTTTTTGGTGGGGGTTTTCCCACTGGAATCCCAGGAAGGTAGCAGGATCTCCATAGGGCATAGCAAATCGTAAAGGCACTGCAGGCTAATGCCATCATTCTGCATCCAGATGTGCAGCTGAAGAGTTTAAGGACTTTAAGCATGTTGTTGGTTCTTCCTGGGTTTCCCAAGATCATGCCTGTGGCCATTCCAGGGGTTCGCCCAGGTTTATAGGTTAAGGTTGCCTATTTCTTTGGAAATAGAGAGAAAGGTAACAAAAACCTCCCTCATGTGCAGAAAAATATTTTAAAGACAAGGCAATCTGATGATCTCTGACAAACGTCCATCTCCTATGAAAAACTCAGGAAAAACTCATCTCGACTTTCTGAGCTGTTCATGAGAATCACCGTGATACAATCTGTTCACGAAGGACTTATCAAAGTGTGAGATTAGTTTGTGCTTAACATTCTTTGTCTGAGACATTTCAGAGACAGTTGCCGATATAGATCTCCTACAGTCGTGCAGGAATTGCTTGTCTATTGATTATGCTCACGCTCGGTTCTGTAGTTCATGATTGCGGGGTTTTTTTAGTCTCTTGACCGCCAGTGCTGTCTTACGACATCGTGTTCCCATTCACAGCAACGAGCTCATCACCCTGGGGAGGGCTTGCTCGAACCCGCTGCCCACTGGTGCAGTGCTCTTTCTTCCAAAACAGAAGAGCTGGTTCTTGTCTTGGAGCCCCGAAGGGCACATCAAGAGAAGACAGATTTTCGTTACCCCAATGATGGCCCTCATTTACATAACAACGTGACAGACAAATTCTCATTAAGCATTCGGAAACCTTTGTGGCTGGGTTTATTAGAGTTTTTCTCTTCCTGAGGTTTGATGTTCATCACCAGATTACAGTTGTTAGATTTGCTTTCAGCTATGACCTGCATCTGCTTTCTTTAATTTTTAGTTTTTGGCATTGTCTCTCATCAGGTTCTGTGGTTTGGGCATTTACCAGTTTCCTGCCCACTGCTGAATGTTTTGTGTGTGTAATGAAATGAGTTAAAAGCCGCTTTTTTTAGGAAAACAATAGTGGATTCATAAGGGTATTTAGATCTTTTTCCCCAATAAAATAAAAATAAAATGTAGTTTGCAGAGCTGAAACAGCACTGGAGTCTGCTTGGTGTAGCCATTACTGTCACTTTAGTCAAAATCTAAGTGGTCGCTGTGTCAGTGATGACAATATGATGAGTGTGCTTGTCCTTTTGTGTGCAGTTGTCTTCTTCCACCAGCAGAGGGCAGATGGTCTCTGTTTCAAAGTAATGTCTGTAAGCAGCGTTTCTTCCTTCCAAGAGTACTGCTGTGTGAACATTGTAATTGTCACTAAGTGTCTAATGCACTGATGCTCAGTAACTGACTGACACACTGAAGGATTTAGACACCCAAGCAGAGACCATTTAACTCTTGAACTGTTTGACTTAAGTCCCTGGCTGTATGTTTAACTGAACAATATCTGAATACAGTGCAAAGTGCAGTCTCTCTTTATTAGGTCCCTCTCTAATCTCTCTCCCTCTAACAGTCTGCCTCCTCTCTCTGCAGTTGAATAAGCGGTTCATCCTCAGCTTCCTGCATGCTCACGGAAAGCTGTTCACCAAAGTGGGGTAAGTACTTGTGCACAAAGACTTTCTCACATCTGACCCTCCAGCACTCTCTGACATGTCTGCCCGCTGGCCTGTTCAGCCTTAACAGTTTGTGAGCGATCAACAGAGAAATGTCAAAAACAAAAAGATTGGAAGGGAAGGTCCCAGGACTGCCAGATGCCACAGTAGCGCTGTTGATCCACGAGACAGGCAGTGTTAGATGAGATCCCCACGTCTCCCAGTGTCCCAGGTGTGAAAACTGGTCTCATACTGTATGAGCCGCCAAAGAACAGGACTGATGTGTTTAGGATGACTCTGCTCATGATGTCGAATAAAATTTCATAATGTATATGTTTAGTTAAGTGCAATAGCATTAAACTTAAGAGGATTTAAGTTAAAATTATGCTTTGTATTAGAAGGACGTCTCACAAGTCTGCGGCTCTTGCTTAAACAAACATTCCTGCTGTGAAATTGGTTCAAAGCAGAGTGACCAGTTTATTCGCTAGGTTTAAACAGTGGAAGGTCTGCGCAGACAGATGAAAGGAATTAAATCTGTTTAGTCTTGTACAAGAAACATTTAAACTCCTCAAACGAATTAAGAGGCAATTTCGTTGACTTCTTTAGGATCAACAATATGAACCAGATTGACAAGTGGTGCTCCTTTGCACAAAGAGTTGTAGTTGTCTGGGACAACCTGTCCAAGCACGTTCTTGAAGCCAGTATCTGCATGAAACCATTCATCAACCACTGGATGAAATCCTTTACTCAGTTTCCAGCAACAGAATGATCAAATACCCCCAAATAGTCTTCTCTCATTCATAAATTCCCTGATGTTCTTGAAGACTGTCTTTCTATAACTTAAAACCTGTTGTTGGTCTTTAGTTCTGTTTATGTCTGAGATTTCTGCTCTTCTCCAGTGAGAGCAAATCCAGACCCACTGTGGTGCCTGGAATTTTCTAACCTGTAATATCCCACTGTTCTTTAAAAAAAGGCTCCAGTGAGACAGAATGATGTACTGTTCCAAGCTTTAACCACATTCTCTTTAAAAAAGCAGGTTTTCTACTTTTTCTGAGTTTGTCCCATTAATGTCATCTTGCACGTTTTCCTTGCGGGTTTTTTGCACTGTTGTGCTTTTTTGGGATTAAATTTGTACTGTGTATCTGCAAAGGCTGGAAAAAAAGAGAAGAAAAATGCCCAGATCGTGAAGTATAACTAGAACGTTCCAAGTGTTTACATAGTTTTGTGTGTTTGTGAAGAGGGCCTTGAGCCCGTGTTGCTGTGTCGTGCAACAGTGCTGGATGTAACGGAGTGAGGGAGAGGGCTTGTGTCCGAATACAGAGGGGGGGGCTGCGTGTACAGAGGCGGCGAGAGCGGGAGAAATCGACCTGCGCGGCCAGACCCTCCAGCTGCCAAAATGGAGGCCGCAGCCCCGCGTGTCCAGTTGAGCCCGGCTCCCTCTGCCTCTCTCACCGCCCGGTCCGGACACACTGCCGCACCGCCTGAGCGAAAGTCACGACCCTCTTCCTCTCTCGATCCCTGCTTCTGCTCCTGTGCACGCACGCTGGCTGCCGCTCCCCTGTACGCGCTCTCTGTGCATTGACCTTTTGTAGATCTTGTCCTAGTTGCTATAGGGGTTATATGATATAAACATCACTGAGACATGTCACTGTCAGGTGACCCAGGCAATTCAAAAACACAGGTGTGGATATTCAGAGGCTCTGGTATGAAAGTGCATGATGCAATAGGTTACTGCCAGAGAGAGCCCAATGCACATCTGGGGCCGGGAGAGAAGCACTAGCCCTGAGCCCACCTGGAAATTACCCTGCCACAGGATCCAAAGTGATTCCTTGGGATTCTGTTGGGAATGGCTGTGCGAGAGGCTCAGATCAGGACGCTGCTACCAGTTCACTCAGTGGGTAGCCCAGGACTTGGGTGTGGGGGTGTACAAGATGAGAACTGGACAGCCCCACTGTGTGAAGCAAGCGGCTCTCTCCATCATCTCTCTTCTTCCTTGCAATTTGTCCTTTCGATCCTGTGCGTTCGCTTGTAAGCGGATAGACAGATTTTTGTCATCCGTGTTCACGGCTTCGCTGGTAATTCTGTGTTTTCCGCCGGGCAGGATGGAGTCGTTCCCCGAGATGGCGGCCCGGGTCCTTCAGGAGTTCCGCGTGCTGCTGCAGCACAGCCCCTCTCCCCTGGGCAGCACGCGCATGCTGCAGATCATCACCATCAACATGTTCGCCGTGTACAACGCGCACAGCCGGGGTGAGTCCTGGGGCCCGCGGTGTCTCCCCGCTGGGGGTGGGGGGGGGCACCAGTGTCACGCGGCGCGGGCGTCACGGTAAGGAATGCCGTGACGCATCTTCCACAGGCGCTCTTTCGGCAGTGAAGTAGGAGTCGGCACATCTGCTTTTTAACGCGGGTGAGGGGAAACTTTCCGTCTGCTGCTGGCTCCTCTCGCCTGTCTGACGGAGGCCAAAGATCTCTCTGTCAGCCAGCCTGTCTCGCTCTCTCTCCCGGTCCCGCTCTCCTTCCTCTCTGCCCACTTGCCCCCCCTCCAATCCCTTTGCCTTTTGGCCACTGCTTCCCATGCTTTCTCCCTTGCTCTCTCTGATGCTCTTTGTCACTCCTTTCCTCCCTTTTCTCTTTCGCTGTGACCTGACATTGAACTCTGGTGGCTCTGCTTTTTTTCCTCTGTTGCTGTGTTTTTGAAGAAGTGAAACCTTGCTGTGGGCTGCGTGGCCTGTGCCCCCACAGCCCTGCGCGCCACAAGGCCGCGCTGACGTCTTGCACAATGCCCTCACCGCAGCCTGCCTCTCTGTGCCCCAGGAGGCACGTATGCGCAACCCGAGAACCGCACGCACCCTGCGGGCCCACGCCGTGCGACACGTATGCACACAGCCGCACGCACGTACCAGCTCACACGCCTGCCACATGAGAACGCTCATACGTGCTCTGCAGACGCCACAGGAGCGCAGCCTGTGCACACAGGTATGCATACATGACATGCTAAATATGTACATACGCTTGAGGACATGTAGTGGTTCCCCATGTCTTAATCTTACTTCAAACATCCATCCACACTTCAGCCTGCTAGAATGAACAGCCACTCAGAGGGCAGACTCTTCAACCTGTTTGGTTTCTCTGTTTTATCACGAACCTATTTATCCTACATCTTATGCTGTGCTAATGTCTACAGCAGCCGGTAGGAGGTAAGAAACCATGCAGCCTCTTCATTATTTTTAGTTTGGCAGAATGGACAGCAAGTGGTTTCAGCCGCAGACAGCTCCTGTGCCGTTCTGCAGGCTTGCAGGGTATGTACGGATGCAGTCCTTCAGTGGGCTGGTCAAGTGGGTTCGCCCAGCAGCTGGCCGCCGGCCCGTGGAGCACTGAGTGCACAGCAGGTGTCGGCCAATGCTTTTGATTAGCTGCGGGGGCGGAGGAACATAACTGGGCTGAGAGGTAGACTGGCTGGGCTTCAGTGTGTGTGTGTGTCTGCTAGTGCATCTGGCTGGGCGCTGATGCCCCTGACTGAGAGTGAGTGGATGTTTCCTAGTTCAGTGCTGGCTGTGTCTGGCAGAGTGATGTCAGCGTCCCCCCCACCCCACCCCCCCGCCTGATGCCTGAGTCATGCCGGTGGGCTGTGGGAATGCCCGGGGAATGCCTGGGCTGCCTGTCGCTGTGGTTACGGGCCTGGGGGGCTGGCAGGGGGTGGTAGTGCCCAGGGAACAGACAGAACATATTGCCAGCTAGGTATGAGACATGGCCTGGAAAATCTGACTCTCTTACCGAGAGTTGGTGGGAAACAGGCGTAGGGAACTGACATCTGCTGCTTCCCGAAGAAAAATAAATAAATTAGAGAGGATTATAGGAAGCCTGTAACCCCCAAGAGCACAAGGACACTGAACCTCTGGGACACATTTCGACCAACGCATTCCTGTTGTAGTCTCCATCTGGAGTCTGAAAGACTGTGGGCTGACACTTAGGGCAAACTTATTCAGAGGCTCTTTATTGCACCCGGAGCGCTAAATTAATTAATTGTCTATTCACTACGCTATTAACCCTTTTCCTGTTTATCGAAAGCAGGCGGTAATTGAAAGGTCCCCTCAATCCTGCTCGTTTGTGGCCCTCTGTGACTGGAGCTGGGGGGGTTGGAAATGTAGAAGCTCCCAGCCCCTGGCTCCAGGCACTGACCCACACTGCCTCACAGGCTCCGGGCTGCGCGCACGTGTCTGCGTGACCATCCCGAGTCTCCGCGGTAGCCACTGGTTCTGCTTTTGAACAGTCAAAAGGCGAAACCAGGCAAAACCGCTGTTGCTGCAGAGCTGTGAAAAAGATGCCACAGCTGTAACGGTCTCCTGGGGTTGATAAGAGCGATTGCAAGTGATTGCCTGAATGGGTTTGTTGCTGTGTTGACCAGCGGTTTTTAAGTCGCTAGCACAGCGCTGCCTCTTCCAAACGGCTTCTCTCGCGGTTTCCGATAAGCACCGTATTGCCTTGCTGAGAGGAATATTGAAACTCAGTGTAATAAACCAAATACTCCGTACATCCACCACAGCATATAACACGGCTCATGCTGAAGGAGGGGGCACTGGAGTCCAGTGGGTTTGTTTCAAAGTGATCTCCACACTTTTCCCCATGGAATGAATGAATCCCTTTCAAAATTTTAGGGAGCAGGGTTTTTGGATGCAGTCCCGGTAGGCTGAGAGGGGGTTTTTGGAGGCTGGCAGGGGATTCCCTCTTGTTTTTTCATGTGCGTCTGTTAAACATGCCAGAAGAGCTGAAATCCGATCAGTTTGTCAGCTTTATTTTTGCTGTTTTTTCATGTTGAACAACATCAAAGGAGGGCAGTGCGCTGCCTTGCATCGCCGAGGGGCACAGTGAAGCTACAGATGAGTTAAAAGCAGAAGAGTAAGCTTACTTCAGTGTGACAGACACAAGAATTGGCACCCTCTCTCTGAATTGCGGTTACTCTAATTGAGAGGAATAAATACTGTTCATTAAGCTAAGCTTGCTTTTCACCAATGCTGAGTCAATTCTGAGTACGTTGAACACTAATCATTCAGGCCAGCGGTAGCATTTACGTCTGCAACTTTGCATTGAGGGAAAGACGCTATAAAGAGAAGCGCTCTCGTTCCCTCGGTGTTGTCCAGACTAAACAGAGCCGAGCGCGGGTCCAGTCCCGGCCAGGCGCTCCTGCTCCGTAAACTCTTTAAACCCCAGCCAGAGCACAGCGGAGGGGTGTTCAGGAGCAATAAAAGAAGCTGTGCCTGGCTGTTCAGTTTTCACAGCACATTAAACCGCTCATTGCTCAGCTCTGCGGGCCAAGAGGATATGGTATAGATCTGGGTGCCCTACACATGGACACACAGAACCCTGCTGTCTTAAACAGGGCAGCCTTAAGCTCCGGTAGATACCACAGCTGCCCCAAAACGCGTGGCGGTTGTACAGAACAGACCGTTTATACCACAGGCGCAGAGGCAATATGGGACCAAAACACAGTTCCCCTTTGTCTGCAGTGATGCTCATTCTTTTGTGGCCAGGCTCTGTATGGGTATGTGCAGATGAAGTGTGTATTGTTTTCAGAGCTAAATGGAATGTGCTTAGTGACCTATCCTTGCAAATCCCGTGCTATTTCAGGTCACGTCTTTGTGTGAGGTTTTTTTTTTACGCGACTGGTGTAGCCTAAAAGAGAGCTTTAAAGGAGCCAGAGGTAGAGTCTGGATCATTTGTTCTCGGATGTGGCATCATGATCTCGGGGTACGTGCAAACCCACGTTGCCAGACCAAGAGAGCAGGCCAGAAGCGTGGGAATCTGCCCGGCAGAGCCAGTCTCGTGAGCAGGTTCGGCTTCTGCGTGTTTGTTTGGCTGTGCTTTTCAGTGGCGGTGTCGGGGGCGGCTGGCCAGGCTCATCTGTGGTCACACTACATGGCTGTATCTGACCAAGCTTCAGCGCGGCGCTGAGTGAGATTTATGAGAGCCGTCTCCCAGGACTGCATGCCACCCCCACACCATACCCAGGCGCCCCCCTCATTTCCTCAGTACAGGGCATGAAAGCTCTCCCGATGACCCCCCCCTCCCCCTCTTCCTCCCTTGCTCCCTCTCTGCCTGTCCATCTGTGCCCAATTTACCCAAGCGTGGCCTTCCTTGTTTTTTCAATAATTTGTTTTAGATTCCCGGAATGAGAACCATCGCAGGCGCACACATTTTTATCGTATTATTCTATAAAACTTCCTATAAATCCTAGGTTATTAATCGCCCCCAGACGGCCGCGCCAGCCCCTGTGAAAACGCACACCAGATGCAGAGGAAGTGGGATGGCAGCAGAGGGCACCCAAGAGACAGCCTGTGCCTTTTCTCTCTTCCCCCACCTCCCCTCCTTCCCTCTGTCTTTTCCCCACTCTCTTAAAAAAAAAAAAGACCCACACACGTATATATAAAGACCCAGACTCACAGAGGAAATAAAGTTTAAATTAAAAAAAAGAAAAAGTAAGCTGCCAAACTCTGGTGTGTGGGATTGAGGTTAAACTTTCATTCTCTTAAAGGACCGAGGCTTTTATTCGTACCATTAACATCACTGCCTAGCTGGCAGGGGTTTACAGGCTTATCTGTTGCAGTGGGTTGAGAACTGGCAGGCTTGTTACTGATCAGAAAGAGAGAGAGGCAGTGTGGGCTAGTGGTTAGAGCTGAGGCA